TGATAGGTTTAATGCATGTATGAAATTATTTTATTTTTTAGACCGCATATAGTTTATGGGTTATCTTACTCAAATAAGATTAGATCATTTTATTATATTAATACAAACATAGTTGTATTTGTAATATTATTAATATATAATAATATGTAATAGTTATATTTATCAATGTAAATATAACTATATTTCTTAATATAATATATTATGTTTACTAATATAAATATAAATATATTTATTAAAATAAAATATTCATAATAAAAAATTTAATATATATATATATGATGAGTTAGGTTTGGACAGGTTTTAGAAGACGAAATTCAAATCTTGCTCGACCCGCATTTTGAGACAAAAAAACAGCTATATCATGTTCGAATGAGTTAAATTAAACGAGTTTAATTGCAAAATATCATCTATAATATCTCTTAACACAAAAAAACTTTCTTCTTTAACCTTTATATTGTGGCACCACTAGTTGAAAAGTCTTTAAAACAACCTTCAATGAATTAAATCCCTACACCTTGTCTCCAACATTGGCTACGCTGCCATTTTGACGATCTTCAATAGTTGTTTGCCTTTTTTTTTTTATACGAGAGGAGAAAATAATACCTAAATGCCTTATATATTACACATTTTAGGTCAAGAAACTCTTACAAAGTCATCTCTCGTGAGGATAATAAGGTCCGCAAATGGTTGAAGATAGAAGGAGAAACTTGGAGGATCCGAGAAAGCAATATTGGCCAAGAAATCCGCAATAGTTCCCTTCCCCGTAAACATGTTGATATAGATGATCTACGGCGACGGTTGTAGTTGCAGGAATAAAGAAGCTGAGGATATTTTTGTTTCTGCATTAGATAAATTAAAATATTTTTTAGTTATCGACACGAAAATTTATTCAACTAAAAATATATAAGTATTTGACTCATAATCAATCACGAAGTAAATTCACCAACTTCGGTATTTCTAACATTTAATTTATAATAACTAATATACATTTTTTTTTTAGAAATACATTGATTACAACAATAAATAATTAATCTATGTACTAATTCCAATATTTAAAGATAGAGTGAGGATTAATCTAGTATAATAATTATATTTAAAAATAAAAAAAAATAGAAAAACTTATAAGCATATTTTAATTTTAAAATAAATTAAAAAAGAAAAGGGCAAAAGGAAGTGAAAAATAAACTTCTATGGGAGCGATAATTCTCTTCCTAAAGTTGCAGA